TACACAATGAATTGATGTGTTAAATTATAATTCTTTTGTGTTGAAACTATTTGTGTGTCAAAGTGTTTGTAGTTGTCAAAGTGTGAAACAGATTGTTACACACATATTTGATTTTAGATCTAAAATAGATGGATTTGATTTAAGTATAAAATATATAGATTTGATTTAGTTCTAAAATAGGTATTTTGAACTTTTGTAGTTTTGCGATTTGGCTTAAAGATCAAGCTAACCTAAATCTATAAATAGAGGGAGTAACCCTATTTTATGATCAATCAAGTTGTATTCACAGAATTTGCAGTTGCAAGTGAATAAGAAGTTTTCCACAGTTTGTGGGCAGAGAAAAACTCTATAGAAAATCATTGTCATCTCTTTCTTTATTTTTTCATATTTTTTCATTGTTATTGTGTGGTGATAACAATCTTGTTCATCAAAATTGATAGAAATTTATCATAGAATTTGGTAGATTTCCAACATGAAATAACTTCATTATTAATATATTTATTTGAATTTAAAGAAATAGTTATACTGGATGTACCCATTTCATTCTATTCAAAGAGATTGGAGTGAATATATCAAAACTAAGACGAATTATTATAATCACAAGAGAGAAAAGTCACATCTTAACTCAAAATCTTACACTGTTAGATAAATGAGTACTCTCTTTTATAAATATAACATTTCACTCATTCATAAGTAATGTATATTTATTTTTTTGACTTTTCACCACCTGTATAGTCTAATTCGGGGTCAGTTTAGTCTTTTCTGCCAAGTCCAACGTCAATCACCACCGAATTAACTAATGATTAGTAAGCAATGTGAAACTTTAATCACTCACACTTGCCCTCAACATCTTTATAATATAATTGTAACATTTATTATTATATTTCATTGTTATACTCTTATATATTAATATTTACTTTATTCAATTTTTTTATTAACTACAACTATTAAAATTTTAGAGAACAAATATTAATTTTATCATTAAAATTAACATATTTGATAAATTTTAAGAACAACATATTGTTCAAATACGATAATTTTTTTTTAAATTTGAGACTAAGGATGCATTTAATTTGTAAAAGGGTAAGTGCTGAACAAAACAATACAATACAAATTTTAAAGTACTAGACAATTTTTTGTCTTGTATAGTGTTTGATGAACACAACAAATAAAAACTTTTTTTTTACTACAGTACCCTTTATAAATGTAATTATTAATAAAGAAAGAGGAGATAAAGTATTTTTAATAGAAAATAACAAGATATTTTTATATTTTAAATAATTTATAATAGGGTCAAAAAATATTTTTGTATTGTAAATATTAATAGGAGAGAGAGTCAATTTTTAATAGAAAATAAAAATGTATTTTTATATGTTCAATAATTTGTATTTCTTATTTTTTGTATTGTAAATATTAATATAGAAGAGAGTATTTTTTAATAAAAATAAAAGAGTATTTTTGTATTTTAAATAACTTGTGTTAGGGATAAAATGATATTTTCATGTTTTAAATAACTTGTGTTAAGAATAAAATGATATTTTCGTATTTTAAATATTAATAGAAGAAGATATGAGAGTTTGGATAACTACTATTATACACATCCCCATAGCAATTGAAAAAAAAATCTTTGTACCTGAGTTTATGTCGCTTGGGTAGTGAAGTTCACACTCATAATTGTACCCTCTGGATATATAGGTATCCAAACTCGTATCCGCTATCCTCATTTTTAATATATAAAATATAAATATTATATTATTTTAAATTTTTAAAAATATTAAAAAATCTCAAATATATATTTTTTAGTTATGAAATAAACAAACATTTATATTAAATATGCATTCTCTCTGTTTCTTTATAATTGTTTTTTTTTTTAAACTTTTGTCACATAGAAAAAAATATAGTAATAATTATTGTTACTTTTTAAACAATAATTTCTATTTTATCTATAGTATCCTTAACTATTTATTATTTTAATTTACTTTTTCTCTCTCCATAATAATATTAGAGGTGATTTTGATAAAATAATAATCATTATTACTTTGAACTTTGAAAATGACAATTAAAAAGAAATAATTATTTTTAAAAAATGATAATTAAAAAGGAACGAAGAGGATAATAGTTTAATATTAATGATTATTTTGAAATTGATAGACAAATTATTTGTATATAACAATATAAATCAAAATATATAAAATATATATTATGCGGGTATAGAGCGGGAGGGTGAGTACTAAGGTGCTCATGCCCGTGTCTATATCTTTTATTTTAGTGGATAATTATCTGAACTTGTGCTCGTATCTAATTTTATAAGTTTTTATCCTACTTAGGTTCTGTTTGATAAAATTAGCTGATAGCTGGTAACAATGATTTGTATGATAGCTAGTAGCTGATATCTGATAACAGAGAACTGATAGCTAATAGTTGATAGTTGATAAATTAATTTGATTATTTGATAAATTAGCTGTTATACTCATTGATAAATATAAAATGACATAAAAAGATATTCTTAATTAAAAAATTAATAGTTTTATTATATTATTGTATTATATAACTAAATTAATTTTTATAAAATAAAAATAAATATATTTGCAAACACACGGAAAAAAAAACATTAAAATTAAAAGTAACAACAAAATATATCGATCAATTATATATAAATTTAATGAAATATATAAAATAATATCATTATGATTTTGAGTTCAATTATATTTATCTAAAATAATAATAAAAATAAATTTATTATCTATTTTACAGTAAAATTCCAATATTATTACGAATCTTCGTCGTTTTGATAATTTTTTAATGTTTCACAAACTTAAGAATTAACAACACTATCTCTAAATTCATTACAAGATATGAAATTTGAATATTGTTAAAAAATATTAAATATTATATTTTCTTATTAATCAACAGGAATATTACTACACAATGCAAAAACTATATATATATATATATATATATATATATATATATATATATATATATATATATATATATATATATATATATAAGAGTAAAAATATTTTTATTAAAATAATAAATATAAATAAAAGAAAAAATTACAAATTAAAAACTACAAACTCAAAAACTATTTTAAATAGCTTTTAAGAAAAAAAACTAAAAAACTAATAAAAAACTTACAAACTAAAATTAAATGACAATTATCAAACTGAGTTTTTTTTTGTTAATACGAATTGAAAAACTAAAAGTTAAAAACTATTAGATAACCTTATTGTGAGTATAATTGAGAGTTACCAATAATAATAGGTTAAATTGCCATCTCTAATTTAGTTTTTAATCTTGATTTTTTTTCAATTCCATAAATATTTTTTAAATCAAATTCAATACAAATAAAATTTTGCTGTCGAATCTTTTATTTTTTAGCGAATCAAATGCATTTTTAGAGTACAGTAAGTTCTAACTCTAATAGTAATTCCTATTAAAAGATTGCAAATGGGTTAATCAATTCGTGTATCTAAACTACCGTATTAACAAATTATCTCACAATCTTTATTAACCATAGTGATTATTTTTTTGAATGGAACCATAGTGAGTTATATAGCATGTATTTATAAAATTTTGTGGAGCTGTTGAGCATGTTGCGTCTTTATTGTGGTGTGGGTGTTGTAGAGATGAAGTGGGGACAGCTTTGTCCCGCTGCCTCTCTTTCCTTTGTCCTTTTCTTTTCTCTTATACTTCGAATCCACTAGAAATTATTATTATTATTATTATTATTATTATTATTATTATTATTATTATTATTATTATTATATTGATGAAAGTAGTTTATTTAAGGTTTTATACAAAAATATGATCTGTACTAGTACTATTAACTCTATCATTGTTGTTTTCATTCATCTCAAATATGTTTTGTTGTCTAGTGTTAGTGTTATGTAATTGTGTTATCTGACAACCCTACCAATACCATCTCTCTTCTCTGCTTTCCCATAAGTCTCTTTTTTCTTCTCTAATCTTATCATCTCCTTTTTAAGTATCACCTCACTCATTCACTCTCCTCTTTATCATACAAAAACATTTCCACCTTCTGTTTTTTCTTCTTCCTAATCACACTACTTCTTGCTTTCCTTTGCTTGCATATATCAACTTCTTTCCCTCTATGCTTAAGTAAGTAACTGCATCTTACTTTTGAGTATTGAAAAATTTAGATCTAACTTGTTGTGAGTATCATCAACATGGAGACTAATTTGATGTTAGTAGTATTTTTTTTCTTCCTTTTTAAATAGTTGAATGATTTAAATAACTCATGATTCCTTTAGTTATATAGTCAACTTCTTTGTTCAATAACAAATTCAAGTTTTAATTAATTACCTTCTTCAGTATTAGTGTGTCCAATCTTTCAATTTTCTGTTTGATTTCTTTGATTAAGACTATAGTCTTTGAGTGATTATTAGTTAGTTAGTCCACTGCAAAAAATCATTTAGCTTATCAATCGATTAATGATGATTGATGGTTAAATATGTTACTATATGGGTCTGTTTAAGGACTAAATCTAAATTGTTACTAATTAAAGTTTATAATTCCTTCTTTGGCAAGATAGTTTTTTGATGTGATAGTTTGATGGCTATGTCCTCTTTTGGACAAACAAAATGTAGTTTTAGACCTTCCTTATGAAACTAAATTAGGCTGTTAAATTCACGCATTTAGGTCATTAATGATGGTTCGATCAAGATTGATTGTTTAGTAAAAATATTTTAATTTAAAATATTAAACGGTTGATCTTGATCAAAGTGTCACTAATACTCTGAATTCGTGAATATGTGGTTTGCTGCGGGAAACTCGGTTTAGATTAATTTTGTTGCGTGTACTACATATCTTTGTTAATTTTTACATAAATAATATTTTAGTGGAAGATGTTGTTAACATTGAGCAATTATAATGTAGGTGATAGTATCATCATGATAAGCTACTCAAAGTGTCATATTTGATCTATCCAAGTGCCTTCTGATAAAAAAGTTATAGCTTTTAGAAGATTCATATCAATGATGACTTCAAATTTAAACTCGGAACCTGAAAATCCGTCTGAAGCGCCTCATGGTCTAGATTCAATGACGCTTGACTTGACACTCAATATCAGTTCGAGTGAAGGCGATTTTAAGGGTTCAAGTGATGCTAGCAGTGAAGTGGGAGATGCTACTGAAGCTTATGCTTTTCCATCGGTAACTCCAAGGGTTTTTGCATGTAATTATTGCAAGAGGAAGTTCTTTAGCTCGCAAGCATTAGGAGGTCATCAGAATGCTCACAAAAGAGAGAGGACGATGGCTAAACGCGCGATGAGAATGGGAATGTTCACCGACAGGTATACAAGTCTAGCATCTCTTCCTCTTCATGGTTCGCCTTTTCGGTCTCTTGGCGCTGAAGCTCATGGTGCAATGCATCAAAGAACATATATGCAGCCGACTTCGTCAGTGAGGGCTCCTGATATGAGAGCTGCTGCAAAATTCAACAGAAACCATTTCGGATCAGTAGTTTTTGTGGAAGATGAGGATGTAGGTTTCTTTTGGCCTGGAAGTTTCAGACAGGTAGATCAGGTAAATTCTAGTTTTGCTCCAATGGCACCTCCTCCACCACACACATCTGCATCTACATCTACATCTCCCGATCTCACTTTGAAGCTATAAGATTCAAGAGATGATACAAACAAAGGTAAACCTTTTCATAAGGTGTTAGTTCAGTAGTATAGTAAGAGTTTGACAGTATAATCTCAAGGAACGAAGTATAGCTTTTCTCGGAAACAATTGTAAAATAGTCATTAGATAGGCCCTTCACAAATACTCCCTCTGTTTTGTTTTAAAATGAGTGTCGCTTTAGAGAAAAAAATTGTTTTAAAATGAATATCATTCTCACTTTTCAATGTAGTAATGATAGTTATTTTTCCAATTGTGTCCTATAATTATTACTCTGCACACTACTTTAAATAAATTAATAAGACTAATTTAGTAAAAGTGCAATGTCTCATAACAATATGATTGAATTCCTTAAACGACACTCATTTTGAAAGGAAGAGAGTAACGGGTTAGTGATTGTAAGATGTAGATTCATTGTTTAACACTATGCCAAAATTTCTCAATCACTCATTCGTTATTATTGTTATTTTCGGTGAGGGGTTTATCATGACTTTATGAAGGTTCTGTCATGTGCATGTAACATTTTTATTTAAGATTGTTTTGTCTTTGATCTCATTCTATTCAAACAAGAAATTATACAGTAATAGAGTGTGCATTTTATGTATAAAGAGACTGGGATATGTATTTTTCAATGGCTATTTTAGCTTATTTTATTTCACCTTTTTTTTGGTTATGGATTCTCATCCATGTTCTAGTGGAGTCCCAAAAAAATTTGGTAAAGATTCTTTCAGGTTAAAAAAGTTGTGGATGCATAAGGACCATTAAAATGACATAAATGCAGAGATATGGACCATATGGTGGAAGATGCACATGTGACTATGAATCTATATAAATAATTTTGCATTAAAATGGAAGGAATGTCAGTGTACTATATAAGAACTAGAACATTAAAACATTATCATACATATTATATTTTCTTAGTTATGGATCCATGTTAAGAGAAACACAACAAAGGTGGTCATGGTTGGATTCGATGAAGTTGGTTAAAAGTGCTCATCAAAGGTGTTAAGTTATGGATCCATGTCAAGAGAAAGTCAATAGAAATAGAGTCAAGGAGATTTGGATATTAATCATTGTTGGGGTGACATTGTTGGAATATCAAATACAAGTGTATTTGGGTGTTTTCGAAGATGCATCTCCATATGTACCTTAAATTACCTCATCCCTAGTAAATCAAATAGTCACTTTATTTTTGCCAAAAATTGATCTGGAGATGCATATCCTAAAACACTCCTGAGTGCATTTTTAAATATTTAATCGTTTATATTTCAAATACTATGGGGTGTTTTCGGAGATGCATCTCCGAATATACCCCATAAAATTTTCACTCACCCATTTGCATTTATTTTGTAGGAAAATGGTGTATTCGGAGATGCATATCTGAAAATTTGAGACATTTTTAGTTTTCGCCAAAGGTTTAGGAGAACTTACAGAGGTGGAAAAATAAACCCCCCTATCTAGAATAGACCTTTAGAAGTTGGGCCTACATAAACACAAATTTGGGATTAAAATTCCTAAGGTCCAAAAAATAACAAACCAAAAATCAATTTAAATATTTGCAACCCCTCTTAAATTTGATTTTGTTACTCCAAGGAAATATCTTAACTTGACAAAGTCTTCGTATTTGAGAGACATGGTAAAGATATCAATTGCTTGGTCATGCGTCTTCATGTACTCCAACTTCACATTGTTGTTAGAAACACACTCTCTAATATAGTGATAATGTATATCAATGTGCTTGCTTTGATCATGGAAGACTGAGTTCTTTTTCAAAACTATTTTTGATCATTTGATGTCCACGAATATCTTGGTCAGTTCCTTTTGCACCAAAATAAACTCCTTTAACATGTTTCGTAACCAGATTGCATGGCAAACACATGAAGTGGCCACCACGTACTCCGCCTCACACGTGTAAAGAGTGAAAATCAACTGCTTCTTTGACATCCATGTAAAGGTTGTGTTTCCAATGTGGAAAACAAAGCCACTTGCGTTTTTTCAGTCATCTACATCTCCTCCCCAGTCACTATCATTATATCTAATGAGCTTGTAATCATCAGGAATATAGTAGTATAAGCTTAATTTTGTTGTACCATTGATGTGGCGAAGAATCCTCTTTGTCGCCTTCAGATGAGTTGTTGTTGTTGGATGTTTCATGTTAATTTGATGTTGTCAGGTTTCGAATCAATGATTTAAATATATATCACAACGGTTGTGCAATATACCCGTTGTGATAGGTAGAACGCTACCTAGATTTTCATCACGATTGCACGACCGTGTTGATAAGCGTTATATATACAATCATCCCTTATCCCACAATGATAGGTTCAACGTTATGGTATCCCATTTTTCAGCCGTTGAAGTATAACTTTTCAATAATAGTGAATTTAGATAGAAACATGACTCTAAATAAAATATTATATGACAAAAATTGATTAATATAATCGATCTTATTTAATAAGATAATAATTAATATTAATTATTAATATTTATTGTCGATAAAATTAAATAATTTTTTACAAAGAGTTGGTATAAACATCTTTTACAATATATCATAATTGTTAAATCATTAAATAACTTTAATTATAATTACTTCTAAAATCATGTTCATAAATATTTGTGATGAACTACAAATGTAAAGCTATTTACACCTATACAACAATTATTCAAAATATTTAATAGATTGGTTGAGTGTGCAAAATATACTAATCTTAAATTAAATTACGAATCAAAACTCAAAAACATTATTTTTTTTAGTATTTTTTTCTCTTTAAAATGTGTTGTGCAACTACTACACATATTACACCTATAGAGAAAATATTTAACCACGAAAAGAGATCACATTTACATTTTTTTATAGTTTAATTAACTAGTTCAATAATCTAATTTTGTGATTCAAAAAGACGATTCATTTATTAAATTTTATTTCAATCAAAAATTAAATTCAAATAATAACTGAATAATTCATCTTTAGTGAAAGTTTGTTTGTCACTAGACTACAAATATTTAACTAAATCATATTTACTTTTCTATCGAAACATTTTGATTTACCTGGTACTATTAAGAGGAGTGGTGGAGATTCAAACACGCCTCTATACTTCTGAATTGTTAGATTAAGATTTATCATTAAATTTTTCTAAAGTATGTTGGAGTCACAATTATTGGAAATATGCAGTTTCATATTTGTAATGATAGAAAATTTATGTATTATTATTAGTATATCACATAGGAAAAATGGGACCACTTAATTTTATAGCAGAAACAAATTGACCGTTGTGTTTTTTCTTCTGTATGTTAGTGAACAAAAATATTGACGCATATGAGCATAGTACTATGTTTTTTCTTTGCTTTTAAGTTTAAATATTTAAATATTTTCCATTATAAAAGAATTAAATTCTTTGTTCGTGGTGGTTAAAAACAGTTTAATGCATTTTAACATAAGTTTGTGATGGTCTAATCCTTCTATTAATTTTGGTTATTTGTTAATTTTTTTCTATTATTTGATTTTGTGACTTTTATTATGTTTTTATTCTTGACTCTTAAATATTGAAATATTAAATTATAATTCTTTTGTGTCGAAATTATGTATGTGTTAAAGTGTTTGTAGTTGTCGAAGTGTGAAATTGTTTGTTACACACAAATTTGATTTTAGATTTAAAATATATAGATTTGATTTAGTTCCAAAATAAGTATTTTGAGTTTTTTTTTTAGTTTTGGATTTTGGTTTAGAGACCAAGTTAATCTAAATCTATAAATAGATGGAGTAACCCCTATTTTGTAATCAGTCAAGTTGTATTCACAAAATTTGCAGTTGCAAGTGAATAAGAAGTTTTCCACGGTTAATGGACAGAGAGAAACTCTGCAGAAAATTATTGTCTTCTCTTTCTTTATTTCTCATATTTTTTTCATTGTTATTGTGTGGTGATAACAATCTTGTTCATCAAGATTGATAGAAATTCATCATAGGATTTGGTGGATTTCCAACATCTAGTATCAGAAGTTCCGGTTGAGCGATCTAGGGAAGAAGAAGAAGAAATTCACGATGGCCATGAATCGTCCAAACAAGTATTTTCCAACCAGTCTTCCAATTCTTAACGTTGATAACTATGAGAATTGGTGCAAGCAGATGAAGATTGTGTTTTATTGTCAAGATCTTTGGGATCTTGTGAAATATGAATTAGAACCGCTTGAAGAAGACACTTCAAAAAAAGAAGAGAAAGAATCAAAGAAGAAAAATTATAAATCTCTCTTTATAATTCATCAATGTCTGAGTTCAAACAATTTTGAAAAGGTTAGTGATGTAGAATCTACAAAAGAAGCTTGAGAGATTCTTAAGAAATCTTTTAGATGTGTAGAAAATGTGAAAGAGGTGAGGTTACAAACTCACAAAAGAACGTATGAATTACTTCATATGGAAGATAGCGAGAGCATATCTGATTTCTTCACTAGGGTTGCGAAAGTAGTGAATCAAATCAAGACTTGTGGAGAGACGTTAACAACAAGAGTAGTTATTTCAAAGATCTTGAAATCTTTGGCTCCGAAGTTTGACCATGTGGTAGTTGCTATAGAAGAGTCGAAGGACATATCAACTTTATCAAAAAAAAGAGCTTTAAGGGACGCTTGAATCTCATGAACAAAGAATGGCTGAAAGAGCTGCAGGCAAGTCGAAGAGTGATGTGGCTATGCAAACTCAATCAACAAAAGATAAGAAAGGTAAAAGAAAGTGGTTCGACAATAAAGGTAGATGAGGCTACAACAATTCAACTAGTAGAGGAAACCAACACAAAGAAAATGTGTCAAATCAAAGAAGACCCCATTACCAAGGCAACCAAAGAGGTGGTGCTGGAGGTAGAGGAAGAGGTAGTGGTCGAAAGCCTGACAAGAGTCACATTCAGTGTTTCAATTGTCAGAAGTATGATCATTATTCTAGTGATTGTCAAGAAAAGTGAAAGAATCAAGAAAGTGATGTAAAGTTTGCAAAACATGAAGAAGAAGAA